ATCCACTCACCTCAGCCTCCCAAAGCGCGGGATCACAGGCTGAGCCACCGAGCCCGGCTACTGTTGACTTTTTTAAGACATCAACTTCATTGAAGTATAATTTATATGTGATAAGTTGCACCCATTTAAAGGATAGTTTGAAGACTCTTGGCAGATGTATCCACCTTGGAGCTGCCACCACAATGAAAGGACAGAACATTTCTATCACCCCCAAAGCCCTTGGGCCTTTTGTAGTTAACTGCCTTTCCCCTCATTCCTGGGCTGTCATTGGACCTTGTATAATTAGGTTTTAGGGGACACGCTCTTTATCAGGCCCCTTTGGTTTCCTCTCCAGTGTTGACCCAAATGATCAGAAAAAGACAGCTTGTTATGACATAGATGTGGAAGTGGATGACACCTTGAAGACACAGATGAATTCTTTTCTGCTGTCCACTGCCAGCCAACAGGAGATTGCTACTTTAGACAACAAGGTAGGGGTCTGTGTCCTGGCTAGTTTGGGTACCCCCAGGCCCCCTCACAGCTTCTAGGCCTCCTTTTGATTCTTGGTATTCTATCAAAATGTAGTGGCACTTGGTATATGTCAGGTACTGTGCTTGATGCTGGTGGGAGCCAGACTCACATGCATTCTGATTCTGGCTGTAATAGTGTTGAGCTGTGGTTTCTGGTCTGTGAAATAGAGACTATAGTACCTGTTTTAATAAACTCACTGTGAGGGTTAAATGAGATGGTGTATGTAGAGACAGGAGACTGTGTCTAACACGTAAAAACAACCAATGGTGGCTCCTTCTAGTGTTACTGCTGTTATTATTGTCAGACATTGTCCTTTCAAGTAAAGCCAAAGTGCTCTGGGAACACAAAGGAGAAAGGGAGCATTTCCTGAAAGAATTGATGCCTCAACTAAATTTTGAAGGGTAAAGTGGGAGTTAACGAAAGGGAAGAAAGGGTAGTGGTGCTGGGGGTTTGGGAGACAGAGGATATTACAGAAAGAGAGAGCAGGGTCTGTAAAGGCCCAGAGAGGAGAGAGAGCGAGCCTAAGGCGCTGAAGAAAAACAAGCTGTCTGGTGTGCTAGTTACACACAGGCTGCAGGGTGGGACGTTCTGGAAAAGAAACTGGATGGGGAGACGGGTGCCTGACCATGAGAAGCTTTGATTCAGGGAAAACGGGTTTCTGTTTTATCCTGAAGACTGAGTAAGGAAGCTTGGGAAGAGATCACCAGTGGAGGGACTGATGCTGTTTGTATTTAGAATGATCTGCTGGGCATGGTGGTGCATGTGGTAGTCCCAGCTACGCGAAAGGCTGAGGTGGGAGGATTGCTTGAGCCCCAGGAGTTTGAGGCTGCAGTGAGCTGGGGAGACAGTGAGACCCTGTCTCTAAATATAATAATAGTAAAAAGGAAAGATCACTTGCAGAAAGGTGGATAATGATTTGTAAGAGAAGCAGGTCTGGAGGCAAGAAACCCAGTTAAGAGACTGGTGTAGTAATCCATGTGAGAAATATCAGGGCCCTAAACTTACAGTACTGAAAGAGGGAAATGTGTAGACAGAGCTGAGAGGCGTCAAAGTGGAATTGAAGGAGTTTGGCCCCTGCTTGGATAGAGGTGAGGAAGAAGGAGGCATCATGATGACTCCCAGGTCGCTAGCATGGGGTAGTAGTATCACCAAGACTAGGAACAGAGGAGGTGGAGCAGATGTTGGGGAAGGGGAGTGAATTTAGTTTTGGAGATGTTAAGTTTAAGCAGTTGGATCAGTTCAAGTTTAGAACATGGACTCTGGGCCGCAGATTGGGACGCATCATCCTGTCAGTGGTGATGGAACATATACAAGTTGATGAAATTGCTGGAAGAGCATGCAGATGAGAAGAGAACTGAGAACAAAACCTAGAGATGAGTGCTTCAGAGACAGCTGCTTAGGCCCCCTACGGCGCCTTTTCCACCTGAGAGTGCTTGGGACTTGCTGGTGCTGTGGATTTAGTATTCACCATGTAGCTTTGCCTGTAGTGGGCATTAAGGAGGCCAGCAGGAAAGCTTCTCCCACGTTGAGTGTACAGAGAGACAGAACCAAGTGCAAGTTACTGCGGAGAGAACGCTGAGGGCCAAGCCGCTGGAGTGCCTTGTGGCATAGCTCTGGGCAGCGCTGTGCCCGGGTTGGTGGTGGCTGTGTGGATGTCAGGCACTTGTCATTTCCCTAGTTGGAAAATGGTGTGAGCATCCTTCTTCCTTTCAGATCCACGAGACAATAGAAACTATCAACCAGCTGAAGACGCAGCGGGAGTTCATGTTGAGCTTTGCCCGAGACCCTCAGGGTTTCATCAATGACTGGCTTCAGTCCCAGTGCCGGGACCTCAAGGTAAAGGACCTAAGTCAGAAAGGTCTGAAGGGACTTAGGACAGTGGGACCCACATCTGCTCTGTTTCTGTAGTAGCTGATGGAGAAACTGGAGGAGGAAGTGAGGAACCAGAATTTTCTTTAGCATGTTCCAGGGTCCATTTTATGATTAAGTAGGAAATCGGATATGGAACCCTGAAGTTGTTATTGTTTTTGTTTTTGTTTTGTTAGAAAGGTAGATCTATTAAAGGAAAGACGTGTTGTGAAGGGCACAACAGATAGGACAACAGCAAGGGGGTCTGCTGTCTGCTGCACCCTGAAGTATTGATGTAATACTTACTCTGTGCTGTCACTGAACTCCATGTTGGTGAGAATAGAGTGGACACATGACCTGATCTCTGCTTTCAAAGCAGCATGCGTTCTGTTTGGAGAAACGAGGCCAGTATGATAAAAAGGAGTAAACCATATGAGACATTATCAAAACTGACCAGTAGCAATAAGATAATTCACAGAAGAGAGATCAGTGGTGCTAGGATCTCTGGGAAAGACTTTGTGGAAAATTTGAGATTTGAAGATACTTCCCAGAAAGGGAAGTACTCTGAGCTCAGGAAGAAAGGTAGGAATAGGTGCAGAATGGGCAACTGACTGTAACTGTAAAGGCTGAGCAGAGGAGCAAGGGAAAAAGGGTGTCAGGAAAGACCCCTATCGAGGTGATGACTTGTCAATGGCAGGGAGTGACTTTGGGTGTTGTATGTTTGTTGGGACTGCTGGAGCAAACTCCACAAACTGAGTGGCTTAAACAACAGAAATTTGTCACAGGTGTGGGGGCTGGAAGTCCAAAATCAGTGTGTCAGCAGGGGTGGTTCCTTTTCAGGGCCGTGAGGAGAGTCTGCCCCGTCAGCTTTCCTGGCCTCTGGTAGCCGTGGGCCTCCCTTGGCCTGTAGGTGGCTCCTCCATGTGTCTTTACATTACACATCCTTGTGTCCAAGTGTCCCTTTTTTATAAGGACACCAGTCATTGGGTTAGGGCCCCCCTAATGCCCCCATCTTAACCTGAGCGTCTGCGGAGACCCTGTTTCCAGATGTGGTCACATTCACAGGGACTGCTGGAGGGTTAGGATTTCAGCATAGATTGGGAGGACACAATTCAACTGACAACAGATGTGAAGGAAGGAAACAAGTCGATTCTCCTCTTCCCCCTGCCCCCACTCTCCTCAGACAATGACCGATGTTGTGGGCAACCCAGAGGAGGAGCGCAGAGCTGAATTCTACTTCCAGCCGTGGGCTCAGGAGGCCGTGTGTCGATACTTCTATTCCAAGGTAGGTCCTTGGGGCACACACGGGAGATGGACAGAAAGCAAGGGCTCTGCACCCCTGACGAATGGTGCAGATTCAGTGGTGGTGAATGCCAACTTCTGGGTTGTCTCATCTGCCACTCCTGCCACTGTTTTCTCTTAGGTGCAGCAGAGACGACAGGAATTAGAGCAAGCCTTGGGAATCCGAAATACATAGGCCTATCCCACAGCCCTGCCTGGGCTGCACCGATTCGTTATCTGGGCCCTGTGCTGCCTGCCTCATAGCACCTGCCTTGGTCTTGCTTGGGGCATTCCAGGGGATGCTGTTGGTTCAAGGACAACACCAGAATGAAGAGGGTCGCACCTTCTGTCTCACAAGACACCTGTTGCCCTCTTCTCTCACCCCATCCCTTCCCACCCCGGCTGCCCTTTGCCCCACAAAGTTCCCACGTGCCTGTCTCCTCCCCTGGTCTCTATAGGACCTCTAGGTAGTGTTAGAGAGAGAACCTGTAGTGGTAATCAGTGTTCGGAACATACTGGGCTAAGGCCAGGTGATCTTCAAGGGGGCCTGCTACATTGGTCCCACCCTTCAGAGACCCAGGAATTGGGAGCTTCTGCCCCTCCTCAAGACTCAGGCCTGGGACACTCTATAAGCTAGTTGATCGAGGCTTTCCGTAACAGAATCCACTTTCCTTCCTTCCCTCCACAGGTTTGGAGCAAGCCCTCCCTTCACTTGTTGCCCTCTAGTGCTAAGGAGCCCTGGTTTTCAGGCTCTGCTGAGCCCTAGGTCAGTCCCCAGCCCTCCAGGCTGGCCTGCCATCTCAGGCCCCTCTGACTCCTGGTCGGGGTCCATGTCAGTATTGGAGTTTGCTCTCTGTTGCTTCCTCCCAGCACACTCCCTTATTCCCCCATGCCTGCCCAAGCAGGGTGGGGAAATCTTACTTTCCCTTCCAGGCCCCAGGGGACTAGCCTGGGGCACTGCCATTGCCAGCAGAGGCTGTTCCTTCCTGCTGTCTCTTGGAGGTGTGACTCCTTCACTCCACCCTCCCCTCTCCCTTCATGGAGAAGCAGGCCTAAAAGCAAACGGGTCAAAGCCCTGGGCCATCCTGTCTTCCTGTCCCTTATCTGCCCAGTTGACACTCTGGTGACTTCTAGGGCACTGAGGAGTGAAAGCGCCTAGGGCTGGAAATGGCTGAGTTGGGTTTGTGACTCCTCCCTGCCTCATGGGACTGACTGCCAGTCCCTGCCCTCAAAGCTTCAGACCCCTCAGGTAGCAGCAGGACCTTGTGATCTCAGCCCCTAGGAACTGAGATGGTTTTGCATCTTTCCAGGAGAGCCTCAGATTCTTCCAGGTTGTATCCCCGAGTTGGCATATCCCAGGCTCGCAGACTCAACACAGCAGGGTGGGAGACAGCTGGGCAAAGAGGGGGATTTCCGTTCAGCATGGGCTGTAAACCTGCAGAACTGACAAAGCCCCTGCTTCCCCACCCCCTCCTCAGGCTCCTGCGAGCACACACCCCCCGGGCCCTTTATCTCTGCCTGTTCTACACTGGGGACAGCAGAGTTTCTTCCCCATCTCCCCTTCCTGTCATTGTCCCTCCCTCAAAAGGTTCTCCCCAGAGTGACACTGGGCGACCTTGGGGCAGCTGAGCCCTGGCCCGCCTCCTGGCTGGAACCATGAGAAGGAAGCTCAGCACTCCTACAGTGTCCCTGTTGAAGATAACTGTTTTTATTAACTGAACTACTATTATGTTTTTTTTCACGGACCAAAATTTTTTTTGTACTGTTCCCTTATGGTGTCACCCAGTTTTAATAAAAGAATCTTCTGAAGGATGGGTCCCCTGCCTACTGTGCGGAGCTCTCCTCTGAGCTCTTCCTCCTTTGATACCATTAGCCTTGCTCGTAGTGTTTGTTTTATTTGACAAATACATATTGAGCACCTGCTATGTACCAGTTGTGGTGCCAGGTGTCAGGGATATAGTGGAAGATAAGATTTTGGTCTTAGTGACCTCAGGGTCTTACCTTAGAGGCTGCTCTGGCTGCCCCAGTGGTCCAGGCAAGCTGGGAGCTGCCCGGGATCATTGGGCGTCACCATAGATCTTAGAATCTTGTCCTCAGCTCCCTCCCAGGCAGATAGTAACAGGTCAGTGGTGCTGTCATCTTCTCCCTTGTCCATCTGGGTTCCTCAAGGCTCTTGCTGGCTGACATGAGCTGTCCTTGGGTGACTGATCCCTAAGGCTTGGCGAGCCTGAACTCCCTCTAGAGGGGTTTAACTTCTGTCTAGATATGGACCAGGGCCTGGGTGACTAGAGACATCTTGGGTTTTGTTTCTGTCCTAAGGGTTCCATGCTCACGTCCCTGAGTCAGAGTCAGTTCTTAGGACCAGCTTGGAAGTGCTATGTTAGCATCCTCGTACAGTGGCCAACCAGCTTCTCACTGGCAGAGTTTGGAAGACTGCTCTGTGATCCTTTCCATTAGCAAATGCATGGAATTCTGCTGCAGTTCTGCCTGCATCCCTTCTGGTGGCTCATCGCTTTTCCTCTTTGTGTCATTATCCACATGTAGTTTTTCTTTCTTTTTTTTTTTTGAGTTGAGTCTCACTCTGTCGCCCAGGCTGGAGGGCAGTGGCATGCTCCCAGCCACCGCAGCCTCAACCTGGTGGGCTCCGGTGATCTTTCCGCCTCAGGCTTCCAAGTAGCTGGAACTACAGGTGTGCGCTATCATGCCTGGCTAATTTTTGATTTATTGTAGAGATGAGGTCTCGCCAAGTTGCCCAGGCGGGTCTCAAACCCACGGGCTCAGACAGTTCACTCACCTTGACCTCCCAAAGCGCGGGATTATAGGCTGAGCCACTGAGCCCGACCACATGTAGTTTTTAAATTATCCTTTACCGCCGTGAAAGGGAACACTCTGGCATTGCCTGTTTAATATATGCAATCAAACCCACCAGAAAATACAACCCTTGTTCCTATTCTGGAACAGGGGGTTTATCAGACTTGGGAAAGCAGGAGTGTGTTGGGGTAATAACTTGAAGTGGAGAAAATTGATGTCAAGGACATTGACATGGCATCTGTTTTTACCCAGGCTAATTACATGTGTAATGAATGGTGACGAACCATTGTTAATTTCAAGCAAATAGTCTACAGTTTGCACTTGGGAAGCGCTCTAGTGATACAGATAACTTACTGTGACGAGCTGATTCTGAATCTGCACCCTACCCTCTTCGTTCCTATAGAAATGAGCAAATTATTTGTCTTCACATTTGTAGGGGCAAAATGAGAGGGAAGTATTTAGGCAAAAACAAGGGGTCATTTTATGCATAAGCATCCATTCTTTGGGGTTCCCATCAAATGTGCCAGGGACAGAAGCATCCTTTCTCTTCCCTCACCCGTAATCAGTGCTCCCAGCTGGCAGCCTGGAACTGGCGCCTTTATCTCAGTGCCAGCACAATAAAGGACCGTCTGTGGGAGGGTATCTGTGTTAGGTATAACTTTGTTCTAAGGAAACAGCTGCCTATTGATTACATGTATGTTCCCCCTTTGGGACTTCCTGGCCATGGAAGGAGAGTAAGGTGGGCTCTTCCTGGTCAGTCCCTGGACTTAGAAAATCATGCCTCCCAGTCCTCACCTCCTGCCCACTCACCCTTCCCCCCCTGGCTGCACACAGACTCCCCTCTAGCCCAGTGCTGACTTGGCCAGCAGAAGCCCATGGGGGTGGTGACGCCCACTCTGCAGTCTGCCAAGCCAGGAGGCCAGCACGTGAGCGTGCAGTGGTGTGTGCCCTCTAGGCCAAGGTGCATGGTGTTAGGAGCCTCCCCCTGCACTCTCCAGATCAGCCTGGTAACCAGAACTCCCCCTCTTAGTCAAACAGATGGCTGTGGGCGATGTGGAGCCCTGCACTGCTGAATGTGTTCCTTCCATTTCCCCTCCCCGCAAATCACACCATATTTACTCCCAATTATGGCACCTGAGACCACAGAGCCCCAGGGGACACACTGCCCCAGTTTCAGAAACAGCCCCCCTCCCCCAAGTCCCTGCCCTGCTAGCCCTTTCCGGCCTCTGCAAACTAACCATTAACCCGTGGAAGCCCCTGGCGCAGTAGCTTGGAAACCCCTGAGAGAAGGAACTGAAGAAGCCATGGCCTCTGAGGCCAGTGCACACATCTCCCATCTCCTGTTGTTGCCTGTCCTCTCACTTACACCAGAGTTTACCGCAGAACCATGGGCCGTAGTTCTCTGAGCCCTCAGCTGTGTCCTTTCCCAACCTCCTTGGGAGACTGTTGGGTGGGGACTGTCTAGGGTAAGGAGAGGCCCACCAGTGAGTCCCTGAGGTGACCGCTGTAGGTGACCAAGATGACCAGGTCTCTCGAGCTCCTGGAGTCTCTTCTCACCCTTGGGCTGGGCTGTCCCCAAAGCAGGCCTTCTCTTACATGGTCTCATCGTTAGAAGAGAACCTGCACCCGTTTTCCCATCCCTGCAGGGAGCTAATGTGGCCTGCTAGCCAGCAGTGTTGGGTTCTGTGAGGGTGTGGGGCTGGGAAGGGAGGACAGGGAATTCTCACGGCTGAGAAGAACGCATTGCCTGAGCTGCTGCTAGAGCTAAATATTAATACAATTTATTGGCTGGGAGTGGTGGCTCAAGCCTGTAAGCCCAGCAATTTGGGAGGCTGAGGTGAGGGAATTGCCTGAGCCTGAGGATTCAAGACCAGCCCAGGCAACTTGGCGAGACCTCGTCTCTACAATAAATCAAAAATTAGCCGGGCATGGTAACACGCGCCTGTAGTTCTGGCTACTTGGAAGGCTGAGGCGGAAGGATTGCAGGAACCCAGCAGGGCGACGCTGGGGTGGCCGAGTGTGCCACTGCACTCCAGCCTGGGCAATGGGTGAGACTCCAACTCAAAAAAATAAATTATTCCAGTGCTGGGTGGGCAGAAGAGAGTGAGGGGGTCTGCTGCTTGTTCCTTATCTGGGCTATTTGCTTGGCAGACCTCAGAATGAAACCGTAGTGGAGCAGGGGCCGGGAAACTGGGCTGGGACCAAGAGAAGAAGCCTGCTAGCACTGTCTGCTGGCAAGCCCCAGGAAAAGCTGGGCCTGGTCTCTGCCCAGTTCCTGTTCCCCACCTGCTTCTACCCTTTTCTCCCCTTTCCCTGGCTCTGCCAGACTAGCTCCCTGGGCGCCAGCTCCCCACCCACTCCCGGAGGGCGGGGCTTGGCTGCACCCACGAGTGGCGGAGTTAAATGCTCTAGCCGGTAGAGGAGCTAGGGAGTGTGGCCCTGAGCCGGCTCGGACAGAGACACTGCACCATGGCGGGCAAGAAAGTCTGCATTGTAGGCTCTGGCAACTGGTAAGCGGCACTGTGAAGGCAGGTGGGGAAGGATGGCTCCCCAAGTACAGAGGGGTGAGGAAGGGAAGCTTGGTGGGTAGGGAATGCCCTCAGGCTCCTGTGCAGGACAGACGGTGCCAGACTTCTCCTGGCCCCCGCTGGCCTGGGCAGCTGCACCTGTTCACCATGGAGTCTCCAGAGCGCTCCCCGCTTGAAAAGCTGCTCGGGCTTGCGGGTGGGAAGATCAGAAGGCTGCCCCCTTCCCTAGCAGCAAAGGAGGGAGACTGGGTCTTTCTACTGCCAGGCCACGAGGGACACACTTGTCATGGGAGTAGGGGTGACAAGGAAGGTGGAAGTAAAGAGTCTGGTGTGCTGCTGTGAGATCCTCCCACTGTCCCCCTTCTCCATCTTGTTACACTCCCCCTCCCTCCAGGGGCTCGGCCATCGCCAAGATTGTGGGTGGCAATGCAGCGCAGTTGGCACGCTTTGACCCACGGGTAGCCATGTGGGTGTTTGAGGAAGACATTGGAGGCAGAAAGCTGACAGAGATCATCAACACGCAGCACGAGAATGTCAAATACCTGCCGGGACACAAGCTGCCCCCAAATGTGGTGAGTCCCAACACTGCAGGGAAGGGTTAAAGGGAAGGCCAGGAGTGTGGGAGCTCGGTCCTCCTCCAGTGGCACCTGGGGCTAAGGGGCCACCTCGGGTGGGAGCTGACTGCTGGGGCACTTTCTAGGACTGAGGACAATCTGAATGTACTTAGAGGTGGGGAAGGGATGGGAGAGCAAATGGTCTCCATGACAACCAGAGCCTGGGCTCCAGACTTGGGGTCTGGGTGGTGCCTGCCTTGGGCTCTAATCTTGTTACTCATTCACTTGTTACTCGTTATTAGCAGACCTGGAGGTTGCTCCTTGGACTTCAGGTCTTTGGTCAAATCCATGTGGCTTCTCCCCAGCTGGTAAGGGGGAGCAGGGAAGAGAACAGGAAGACTGGGGCTCCCCCTCCCAGTTGGGGCCTGAGGAGCATGGTGATGAAATCTTACTCGGTCTCTTCCTTCTGCCAAGCCCAGGCTGCCTTTGGCCTTCCTCACTGTCCCCTGGCCAAGGGATAGGAGAGTACGGGGAGGAGGTTTCCAGGAGTCCTCAAGAGCCCAGGACAGCTGGAGTGAGAGGGAGTGAGTGCTGGGGGGCCGGGGGGGAGGTGTCGTGTTCCTCCAAGTTCAGGCCTAGATTCAGTCCAAGCCAGCCTTCCCTCTGCCCCACAGCCTCACTGACTGGCTCCTAAGTCCTAAATGGGGTTCCCAGGGCCTAGGAGAGAACTGCCAGGCCCACAAGCACCTGTCACCCCAACAGGTGGCTGTCCCAGATGTGGTCCAGGCTGCTGCGGACGCCGACATCCTGATCTTTGTGGTGCCCCATCAGTTCATCGGCAAGATATGCGACCAACTCAAGGGCCACCTGAAGGCCAATGCCACTGGCATATCTCTTATTAAGGTGCCAGGAACACCTTCATGTGGGTGGGGGAGTGTGTGGCTTAGGATGGGGCTCAAGGTGGGTGAAGCAAGAACATCAAATGGCAGAGGCAGGTAGGCCAAGAGTTCCTGGAGAAGAGAGGAGTGGGCTCCGGAGAGGCTTGAGAAAGCAGCCAGATACTGGGGGTAACAGATGGGAGGCTGGGGGTAAGTGGCTAGGAGACTGGCTTGGAGGCCGGTATCTTGTGTCATGGGGAGTTTGGGACTCACCAAGGGCTGCCTGGGGACATGAAGAGGGGCTGGTGTGAGGAGTGTGACAGTGGGGCTGGTGTGCAGCAGTGGCTGGCACTGAGTGGGAGTTCAGGGATGGCCAGGCGGCTGTCTAGGCATGTGGAGGGGCCACTGCCTTGGAGAGGTGGGCTGGCCGAGGGTACGTGGAAGGAAAGTTTCCCACGCGCTGTCTGCCTTCCTCACAGCAAGCTCTGGTGGGGTGGGAACAGGGCAGGACCTGTGGGAGGGACACTGATGAACAGTGGTTCTAGGTGGGAAGCCCTCAGTTGGGCATTAAGGGCACCTTGGCCTGAGCTCCATCCTGTGCCCAGGGGGTAGACGAGGGCCCCAATGGGCTGAAGCTCATCTCCGAAGTGATCGGGGAACGCCTTGGCATCCCCATGAGCGTGCTGATGGGGGCCAACATTGCCAGCGAGGTGGCAGATGAGAAGTTCTGTGAAACAACCATTGGTGAGAACCTGCACCCCCACACATAGCGCCGCCCCAGCAGCGTCCCCTCCTCACTCTCCCCAGCCCCATGAGGCAGGGAAAAGAAGAAGACCCAAGCATCAGGGGCGAGGGAGGTTGGGACACCCCTGGGAAAGGGTGGCAGGTCCTGCTCAGGGCAGGTGTGGGAGAACAGTCAAGAGTCCCTCCACAGAGTGGACACAGTGGTGCCTGCTGTAGTTGCAGCTACTCGGGAGGCTGAGGTGGGAGGACTGCTTGAACCCAGAAGTTCAAGTTTGGCCTGGGCAACAGAGAGAGAACCTTGTCTATAAAATAAATTGTTGAAAAAGACAGTCCCCCGCATAGCCTCGTCCCCTCCCCACTTTAGGCTGCAAGGACCCAGCCCAGGGACAACTTCTGAAAGAGCTGATGCAGACGCCCAATTTCCGTATCACAGTGGTGCAAGAGGTGGATACGGTGGAGATCTGTGGGGCCTTAAAGGTGAGCAGGGCAGAGGCGGCTATGGGTGGGCAGGAGGGCCCCACAAGACTGCTGGTGTTCCAGGCTCACTCTTGAGCAGCTGCTCCCCTCCCCCAAGTCCCACACCTTCAGGAAGAACTGCAGGAGCGAGGCCAGGGCCCTGAGGGCTGCCAATGAGCCATGGTCAGACAGCGGACCCCCTTCAGTCCCTTGCGGACCTCCCTATCCCTGGCTCTAGGAGGGGAAGAGGAGACGCCCAGGCTGAGGGGAGACAAGATGTCCAGGACACACAGACAGACCAATAGCCCAAACCACAGGTTCTGGATGGCAGTGATCATGAGGGCTATAGAACGGTCATGGATGGAGAGAAAAGTGACTTCCCGAAAATGTCCTAAGGGATGGAGTATGGGGCCAGGCTCCAGACAGGGCCGCAGCCTGTGGGAAAGCCAAGTGGCAGAAGTGGCCTAGGCATCCACATACCACACTTCACTTTTTTTTTTGAGTTGGAGTCTCACCCTGTTGCCCAGACTGGAGTGCAGTGGCCGCTCCCGGACACCGCAGCCTCGACCTGCTGGGCTCCGGCGATGCTTTCGCCTCAGCCTTCCAAGTAGCTGGAACTACAGGCATGCACTAACACGCCTGGATTTTTTATTTTTATTGTAGAGACGAGGTCTTGCCAAGTTGCCTGGGTGGGTCTCGAACCCACAGGCTCAGTCAATCCACTCGCCTTGGCCTCCCAAATTGCTGGGATTACAGGCTGAGCCATCAAGCCTGGCCCACATTTCACTTATGTTGTGGGGTGTCGTGGCCGATGGCAGGAGCTAAGGGTTCCACATGGGGCCTGCGGGAGGGGCTCCTTTCTCACCGATGGCCTGTATTCCCCCAAGAATATAGTGGCTGTGGGGGCCGGCTTCTGTGACGGGCTGGGCTTCGGCGATAACACCAAGGCGGCGGTGATCCGGCTGGGCCTCATGGAGATGATCGCCTTCGCCAAGCTCTTCTGCAGCGGCCAGGTGTCCTCTGCCACCTTCCTGGAGAGCTGCGGTGTGGCTGACCTCATCACCACCTGCTACGGGGGGCGGAACCGCAAGGTGGCCGAGGCCTTTGCCCGGACAGGAAAGGTGGGTCCCAGGAGAGGGGAGAGCAGAGGGTGGGTCTTGCAGGCGTCCAGGTGGAGGTGCTCGGCGGGAGGCATCCTTTGGGCCCAATCATGAAGACCCTTGTGAACATTCCCACGCCTCCTTTCCTCCCAAGACCACAGCCCCCTCCAAGCCCCAGACTCTCTACCTCATACTGACAACTCACATGCCTCCACTCCCACCTGCCCGCCCTTTCTCTCTACAGTCCATTGAGCAACTGGAGAAAGAGATGCTGAACGGGCAGAAGCTGCAGGGGCCCCAGACGGCTCGGGAGCTGCACAGCATCCTTCAGCACAAGGGCCTGGTGGACAAGTGAGTGTCGACCACGGCCCAGCTGGGTGAGGGGGC